GATCACCTGTCTACATATCCCACTCCCATCAGATACCCTGGATCTGGAATTACAGATAGTTGCAAGTCCCTCAACATGGGTACTGGGGATGAAACTCAGGTCCACTGGAAGAAGAGCATGTGTTCTTGACCTCTGAGACATATCTATAGCTCCAAATTTTATTAATAATGGATGTGTAATGGTATCACATGGTTATAGCTTCATTGTTGACTGAAGAAAGATGTGGCTCCATGTTACCATTCTTAGCAGCCTAAATGGTTCCTCTGAAATTTTAGATATCTTGGCTGAGGCTGAAACATTTCAGAACTAACTGGAGAAATGATGTTGAAAATTTCTATTGGAGACATTTTAATGTAGGCTTAAGTACAGGGTTAAGAAATAGTACAGCCCTTGGAAGCAAGTAAGCTATACCCATGAGTGAAATGTAAGTTTCCTTCCAAACTAAAAATAGGTAGAGAGATGCTGTGGGATGTCTTTCTGTCTGCTCTGAGTATGTGTTGCTCTGATTGGTTGATAAATAAAGCTGCATTGGCCTATGGCAAGGCAGCTTAGAGGTAGGTGGGAAATCCAAGCAGATATATGGAGAGAAGAAAGGAGAAGAGGGAGAAGCCAGCCATTGCCAAAAGAAGCAAGATGTGAAAATAGTAGTAAGCCATGGTCACATGGCAGCTTATATATTAACAGAAATGGATTAAGTTATAAGAGCTAGCTAGCAAGAAGCCTGCCATAGGTCACACAATTGGTAATTAATAATAAGCTTCAGAATGATTATTTCATAAGTGGCTATGGGACCTCAGGGCCAGGTGAGACTGAAGAAACCTAGCTACATGGAGATAAGATGAAAACATGAAGTAATGAAGGGAGAGTGGGGGATTCTGAAGGGAAAGTATTAATTTTATCTCAAGGGGAAGCTATTAATTTACTGAGGATTTGTCATATATATCACATTGGTAGCACTGAGTTATATCTCAAAAGGTTGCTGAGAACTCCCCCATAAACACACATTCCTTTCTTCTCATTTTATAAGCAAGGTAACGGATATGACTGTATAAAAGGAGTTGAGTGTAGTAACCACACACCATTAGAATGACACAAGTTGAGTTCATAAGCTTTCTTGGTTAATGAAGTTTCTCTTAGAGAATCCTAGAAAACTGCAGGTTTATGGCTTGGAAAGGGTCAAAGACTTAAGTAATTGATAGGTCTTATATGAGGAGAGATTCAAACATATTTCTGAGAAAGAAGATCCTTTCCCAGGCTTTCCATCCTGCCTCCATGGTTTGCAATTTTAAGATTAATAATTTTCAAATAACTTTAGAAATACTTATTTTTTGTATGTATATCTATATGCTAATTGCATGTCTGATGTCCACAGAGTATGGAGGAGGGTATTATGTCCCTGGACCAAGAGTAATTATGATGTAAGGACCAGATGATTGTGAGTCACTATATGGGTGCTGGGAATTGAACCTGGTCATCTGTAAGAACAGTCAGTATTCTTAACTGCTAAGACATCTCTCCAGCCTCAATTCGAATAATTTTGTTGAATACCATTTTTATATGCTTAAATGTCTCTCAGATACGTTGATGAAATTTCTGTTCATAGTTTTGTTCATTAACTCCTTCATTATCTTCTTATAACTGAATTGTAATGGTCATTTTATTATATATCTCAAAGGTTAGTCAGTGTCTTAGTTACTTTTCTATTTCAGTGATAAACATCATGACCAAGGCAACTTATACAAGAATACATTTAATTGGGCTTACCATTTCTGAAGTTTAGAGCACATGATAGCACAGTAAAGGCATAGTGGAAGGAACAGTTGAGAGCTTATATCTTGAATTGCAATCAGGAAACAAAATTGGCACCTGGAAAGTTACTTTTGAAACCTCAAAGCCTTCCCATAGTGTCACAACTCCAATAAAGGCCACTCATCATATTCTATCCACATGGCTTTACCCTCTGAAGGACAAAGTATTCAAACAGAAGAAGCTTTGGGAGCCATTATTATTCAAACTATCATGGTCATTCTCAATTTTGATGAAGTTCAAAATTCTATGTTTTATTTCATTTTTTAGCTTAGATATGCATATAAGTTATAAAAATATTTATTTTCTTCCAGCACTAAAAGATTTGCTTTTAATTTCAAGTCACCTGCTGAAAGTATGGAGTGAATGTTTACTTCTTTTAAGTGGTTGTACATTTAATGAATTATAATGCTTTTGTTATTGAATTCACTTTTCACCGTTATCTAAAATCAATTGATCAAATATGTGGGGATCAGTTTTTAGAAATTGAAATGTGTCTGATTTTTTTTCCTTGCCATTGCAATGATGGCCTGATTACTTAAGTTGGCAAAAATCAAATGATAAACTCCCCAACTCTAGCATTTATCATTTCAATTTACATGTTTTATTTGCTTATTTGTTTTCAAAAGAAAAATCTGGTGAAGTTTGAAGAATATGTAAAATCTAAAGATTTATGGGGTGATGGTATATTTCTTCACTTCTTGGGAAATTTTTCATTATCCCCAGAAAATTTTTTTTGTAACTTCTCTGTCCTAGACTTAGTTTATATTGTCCTTGATCTCCAATGTTTAAAGATTCACAAAATAAAAAAAAAAGTGGCAATTCAGCTCAAGAAGGAAGGCAAACAGAAAGCTAAGTAAAGACAGTCTTTAAACAAGGAGAAAATGACTAACTCTACCAATTACTGACATTATGTCAAGTAAAACAAGGACTGCTGCTGTGGGGTGGTCTGTATGTCAAATTGCTCTGATTGGTCAATAAATAAAACACTGATTGGCCAGTGGCCAGGCAGCAAGTATAGGCGGGACTAACAGAGAGGAGAATTGAGAGAACAGGAAGGTGAAGGGACACACTGTCAGCTGCCGCCATGACAAGCAGCATGTGAAGATGCCTATAAGCCACAAGTCATGTGGCAAGGTATAGATTTATAGAAATGGATTAATTTAAGATTTAAGAAATAGATAGCTAGAAGCCTTAGCCATTAGGCGAAACAGTTTAAATAATATAAGCGTCTCTGTGTTTATTATAAGTGGGCTGTCGGACTGCTGGGGCTTGGTGGGACCCAGAGAGAAAACTCTCCAGCTACAGACTGCAAACTGGCTACTGAGATTTTTAAAAGTGTAATCCAATTTTGAACATGACACAAGCTACTTATGTGGAATGTGGGGACAAAAGACCAATCAGGCTGGATTCAAGCAAGGGTCAAAACCTATACATTGGAGTAAATGATTATAGACAGTTTATTCATGGTGCATTGTATAAACAAGGAGACTGGAAATGGAGCAGAAGCTGGAGAAAATGAGATACCAAAAACATGAGCAATTTCAAAGATTTGATAATACAAAAGCACATCTCTATGCTACAAGCATGAAGGGGAAGAAAAGCAGGAGATCTGATAATTCTGAAAGAGAGAATGGCTTGAATAGTCTTACACATATTTACAAGATAATATAACTGTCAAGGTGACACAGAGAATTGGCTTGAGGAGAAAAAAACTTTCTCTTGATCCTGAGGAGCACTAGGGAAGTCTGTAACTTCAGAGAGAGTGATTGATACATGCTTAGATACAGTGATGGTAAAGGAATAAAATTCCTTTACATTCCTTTTTTATTAATATAAAAAGGAAGGAAGTCAACTGTCCTGGAGCATGGGGGAGATGCTAGGCACTAGAGTAAAGAGATATATCTTATACCAAATTAATTCCACCTCTTGAGAAAAATGTAGTTTACTCCTAGATGACTGGTTGTCTCGTATACAAAATGATATGTTAAAATTTTGTTTTCACCATAAGTGGTGAGCTTCAAAAAGCCAACTCATGCACCTGGGATGGATCCTGTTCCTACCACCAGGGAGCTCCTTAAGCAGATCAAGCTACACAGCTGTCTCACTTATGGAGAGGGCCTAGTCCAGTACCATGGAGGCTCCACAGCTGTTCTGAGGTCTCACCAGCTTGGTTTGGATATCTCTGTAGGTTTCCCCATCATGATCCTGATGCCTGCTCAGAGAATCCTTCTTCTCTGTCCTCAGTTGGACTCCTGGTGCTTGGCTGTGGATGTCTGCATCTACTTCCATCAGTTACTGGATGAAGGCTCTATGATGACAATTAGGGTACTCACTGATCTGATTACTGGGTTAAGTCAGTTCAGACACTCTCTCCACTGTGGGAGGAGGGAGGAGAGGGAGATTTGTGATTGATACGTAAAATGGATAAAAAAATATTATGTATTTAGAGAGTCCCATCATATCTGCACATGATGATAGGAATCTATAATCCCAAGACTTGGGAGGATAAGACAGGAAACAGAGTTAGAGGCTAGTGTGGAAAGAATTATGAAACCATGTCCCAATATAAACAACAACAACAACAAAATAACCAACAACAACTAAAAAGAATCACTTTCCCTATGAAGCTCTTGATGATGGAACTTGACCATATAGGACAAATGACATGCTGGGTGGTCATAGTTACAGAGAATTATAATCCATGGGCATCCAACAATCCAGTTATACAGACCTTGTTTATAATCAAAGTCAGGTCATAAGTTACCTTTACTTAACTCCATTTGATTTGTAGTTTTGTTTTCTAAGCATTCATTTTTTTTTTAATTTCAGATGTCAAATATATGCTTTTTTGTGTCATGACCTGAAAATATTTTGTGTTATATGCATGTTTGTATGTGTTATGAGCTCTATGTACATACATGTGCTTTGTATTTGACTTAGCTTTTATTTTCCAAACAGTCTCCTCAAAAACCATTCCAAGACCCAGTAGTATTAAAAAGTTTCATCAGAGGGCTCTGTGTGAAACAAAAAGAACATTTATTTATTTAATTGTTTTTAAACAGAGCTGTTACACAAACACATGCAAACTCCCTCTTTGCCCAGAGGATTGTAAGCACACTGTTTAGCAGAGCAATGCTAGGTGTCTGGTCTATTTGATTCTACTTTATATAATTTGCTATCTTTAAGAAGGCTAATGCACATATTTAATTTAGAAGGGTTGTACTGATAGACCTTTGATTTTATTTCCCCTTTCTCTTCACTTTAACTAACACCAGGAGCTGCTGGCATGCTTCAGAAAGCTTCCATTTGAACACAGTCTAAATCGGTGCAGACCCTTGACCGGCTTAATCTTTTCTTGCAAATGACAATGCAGTGAAACCAGAGAAAGAAAGAAGAAGAAGAAAAACTACTTCTTTTCCTGTTGGATACCTAATAAGTAGTTAGTCTGACCCAGTTTTCAATAAGAACGATTTTCTGATGACCCAACAGGAGTGACTATATCTAGTGAAAGAATAAGGGGGGGGGGGTGAATTTAATCTTTCTTGCTACTGGAATGGCAGCTGCTCCCAGCTGCCTGAATCTGTGAAGGATGGGGAAGACAGAACGGGCTTTCAGTGTGGAGAGAATTTTCCCTTTGAATATTCTAAACGGGAGCTTTGCACATGTGCCTCAAGAACTAATTGTCTAGGTTCCGTCAGGAATGCAGCAGGAGAGGAGCGTATTTCATGCTTAAGACCAGAGAGGAGCCACGCAATACTCAGTGGATAAAAGGCTTGCAGTCCCAGCTGGGAAAAAGAGTCCCATTATCTCCCAGCTGCATAGACATTCCATACGGCTTGGTTCTGCCTGGATGCACAGCATGCCTGGCTGAGGGCTCCAGACAGAGTTCTGCGGAAAAATTGTAAAGATCCCGAGACATTTCCCTGGTAAGATCCGTAAGTACAGAATTGCGCTGTCTGCTACAATGAGAATTTTGCTGGGCAAGCTGCAGCTTTTCTTGCTTTCTCTCCCTTTGTATTAGTATAACAGGTAAAAGCTGGGATTATGTGTGTGGTGGGGGGAGTGTCTGTTTCATTGATGCTGTGTTTTTATGATGCTGATGGTTTAAAAACGTTTATTCCCTGTGAGAGAAAAATGTATTGAATCTGTATCGGGAGATGTAGGATCAAACCAGGCAAAGTGAGACTACATGTTTATTTTCCAGTGTTTCACTAGTCTTTTGCTGCAGTAAAACTAATAGGCAAGACTGGATGACAGTGCTAATTCTGGTACTTTCTGATGGCTACACGCCCTTTCTGTAACGGTAGACAGATCTGAAGATGTGACTGCTATTTTTTTTTCCTCCAAGGGCTAAGGGGTGGGGTTTATAGTATCCACAGATGATTTAAAGGAATGGTTATAAAAGTTTCCTGGGGGAGGGTTTTCACAACAGGAGAAACACAAGAGTGGAGGTCAAATGGGTACACCAAATTTCCTCTGACATTTTGGTTGCACCCGGCTTAAGATAATAGTGTGTAGAGTCGTGCTTCTTCCCCATTTACATCAGCTGAGCCTGTTATGATAAGGATCTTATAATACTTTATGAAAGTTTCAGAAGTTGATGACTTGGGAGCAAAACTTTACAGAGTTCTCAGATTAGCCACTACATATAGTACTAATGTTAACATGACAGTGTAACATTGGGGGTTTGGGGGAGATTGGAATTCATAGTTCTTGTTTCGCCAAATGAAAGCTATTTAAGTTAAAATAATCAACATCCTGACTATGTCTTCTGAGAGGCATTCACGGAATAGCAAATAGAAGTTATCCTGAGGAAGAAAACAGGGAGAGCAGTGGCATTATACAGAATCAGCTTGAAAATAAGGGATTCACAATGTTCTATGGTGACAGTGTTTCTCAAAGATATCTATAAACCAAGGAACCATATGTTGGGTATTGAATCTCTTGTTCTAAGCAATTTTCATTTATCTGATGGATTTGTTTATCATCTTTAAAACCATTGTTGTTGAAATGTGTCGACAATTTGTGTGTATTGCAATCTACAATGAACATATTTGAGCTTTGTTTTTCTAGCCCTCCCCCCAACATGTGTAAATATATACATTTCCACAGAACAAACATATGCACACAAAAAAAGCTGCCACAATTTGTATAGCAAACAGAAATACAGAGTCATTTTATCTTCGATGCTTCACGGATTTTTTTAGCATAATCATGGCTATGCAGTATAAAGACTTTCAATCAAGAAACTTTTATATAAGGGGCTTATATGAGGTTATATAAATGCATAAGTTATCAGCTCTTAGCAAGAAGCCTATCACTTAAAATCAAATGTGCACCTTTATTTCCATTAAGCATTTCTAGTGACTGTCATAATTTTATTTTCAAGAAGTATAACTTTCTATAATGAAACTGAATTTACTTGGTCACTTAGCAGATGATCACACATTTGGTCTGAGCTCTCTGTTCCCATCCCACACAAAATGAATTATGTTTTGAAGACAGTATGAAGTATATTAAGTTGACTATAGGCTTCTAGTCTTTAGATTAGGGAAAATAGTGTAAGCAGACTGATACCTTTTTATTTTCCTTACAGAAAGAAGGGGATTATGAAATATTCACTTAGTTATTTAACTACATATTTATACTGACAATATGTAAAGTAGAGAGGTGCTAGCATAAGCTTCAGTACTTGGTAAAAAAAAATAACCAAACAAAATATGAAAGCTTGAAAGATAGATCCCATCCTCTAATAATAACAATCATGAGGTATTATTTCTTTACACCTAAAATTCTCATGATAAGATGAGATGGGGAGAAAAGCGCTTTATAGAGAATGGTTTCTTATAATATAGTCTTCTTTCTAAGAATAAGGAGTACTTAGTGTGATTCTATCATCAATAATTGACAGATATCTTTGAAGAAGAAATATATCTTACTCTATAAAAAAAGAAGGTATATGATATAAGTTGCCAAAATTCTGTTATATATGTATTTGCAGTAAAATACTTGTTTTAGGAAAATAAATCTATATATATGAGCAAAACTATGAAAAAATAATGATTTGGAGCCATTTTAATACATATTTAAATGTTAACCAATTCTCAAAATATACATCATTGTCAACAGAATATTGCTGGGAACTCCTCTCAAATCCCTGCTCTTTGTGATCTCTGGAGAAATAATTAAAAAAAAAACATACAAATATAGTGTAGAAGAAAGGTGGTTATTAACAAGTATAATAGGTACTCTCAATGGATGATTGTGACCAGTGGCTAAGTAGATCACTGGAGAATAGAACTCTCTCAAAGTGTAAGACTGGAGAATGGCCAGAGATATGTTATGTACATTTATATTTTAGACAAGTTTTAACTGATGTCCAAAGTGCAGAACAGACAATTTTCTTAAAATGCTTATTTCTGTCTAGGATACTTATAGACCTACTTGGACTGATACTTGTGGGAGGGGAAATAGTATATCAAGCCACTTGCTATACAGAAGTCTTCTAAGATTAAGGGCTTCTGAACCAGGTTTAGACAATGATCAATTAATGACATTCTTGGCAGTTTAGATGCCATGTTTTCAATCTCAAGGCCTGAGGACCCAGATCCTATGCCTCTGAGAAGTAGATACCTGAAGTTACAGCCCTGTTTTTATAAGCTGTTGGTCATAAGTGAGGAGTCTATTCCTAATGTATGTCTTCTAATGTCTAAGTAGTCAAAGTCTAAACCTAAAATTTCCTTTTCAATGCTTGAGGCTCTGGGATCATATAGGAGGTTGATATCTAATCCTGGCTATTGTTCTACCCAAATGGGGTGTAGGACAAATTAAGGTCTCTACTTAACCTGATTGTCAAGCCTATTGGGATGCTCAACAGGAAAAATGTAGAACGATCTAAAGGTGAATTGGTTGCAAAAGAAATAAAATTTAAAGAACAGATAAGCATACCAGATTGAGATTAATCATAACACTATCACTATATTATTCATTCAGCCTTTTCTGACAATTTTGATAGTAATATGAATCATATATATATATTATGATAATCATTTCAGAGATTTATATTATTGAAATTATGGTAATTACCATAATTTATTTTAGATTCATTTTAAAATTGAAAGAACTAACACTTTCAAATCATTTACACCCTGATTCATCATTGTTTCTTGCTTGGATGGGTCCCACTTTCTGCAACTGTATAAAGAGACAGTCACAGGTTCACTGTTTGTCCTGTGCCTGATCATTATTTTATTTTACACCGTCAAGACAAGTTATCATTTTAGAATCAAACAGTCATACTTTCATAAAGACATGCATATTTGTAAGCAATATTGCAGATATCTCATATTTAAAGTTGTTACCCAGAAGTTTTAGTATTGTTGAATATGACTTGCTTTTCTCAGATGAATATTTTCATGATTATCAAATTTTAATTTTTGTTAAAATATTAGTATAATTGGTCAGCAACATGTTCTTGCCATTACTTTAAGATTTTTTTTTGACCAAAAGAAATGTAATTACGTTTTACATATAAAGTTCAAGGAAATAATGTAGATGATATGAAACATTACTGTGATGAGATTAAGTACATAATGGTCAAATTAAATTACCCCTCATTTGTTAAAGGAAGTTAATTAATATAAAATATCATGCAATTGTTTTTCATATAAGTTATTAATTGTTAATTTAATAAAAATTAATGTCAGTATATTGCCTATTACAATCTGTAAGTTCCTGAAAAAAAATGAGAAATCAATATCAGAGATTATATAAGCCTAATAGGTAGAGTTCATATTCCAATGTTTCCTTCATCTTTATTAATTTTTTTATTATCCTATGGCATTTCAAATAAAACTAAAAAATTAAATTCTTTCCATATTTGCTATGATATACTTTGTGTATATTTGTACTGCAGGAGGTCGTGTGTACCTCAATATCACTGAAGTAACTGATTCTTGCTCTTTGGAAAGACAGTCATCTATCAAAACACCATTACTGAGTGTTTGATGGATATACAAATAAGATTCTTTCATTGGAGCAATGCTTTAAGCCCTGCATCTTTAGTTTGCCTACCTGATACTCGAGAGCATGGACAAACCAACTTTTACACATTTTCTTTTATTCTTTCTTTCTCCTGGATCACCATTTGTGTTTATGTTGGATCTTAGTTATTCATCTTGCATATCTATAAAAATTATTCAAATTTGTTTTAAACTTTGCATTTTGTTTTATTGTTATCTCAAGTGGTTTGCTATAGTACTATATGATCTATTACAATATTCATCTCTGAAATGCTTTTATTTTCCTCTACAGGTTTAGATGTCTTTATCACTTGACACATTCCTTTGGCTTCTGAATTTCTGTTTCAAAATGTGTACAGAAAGATTATGTTCAGAGATATTAAAACTATGTCAAAGTAGTTTCTCACCACTTTCTGAAAATTTAGCTACTATTCTTTAGATTTATGTTTTTAAATTACATATTTTCTTAGCTTTTTGCCCTTACATCCTTTTCTTTCAAAATGTATTTATGAGAGATAATAGAAAAAACAGAGAGTTTTTTTAGGATGCTATAAAAACTCAGATAGTATATGACAATCCTAGGAATAAACCCTAGGTTACCAGGCCTGATGCCTAAAAAGTAAATGAAGGATTTTTGGATGCTCACATAACCAGCAGCTGTCCCACATGAAACAGATTTACACATTAATGACCATAATAGTGGGAAGTATATATACTAGTGCAGTAAGCATATAGAAATTTCTTCCCTCAAATTTTGTTGTGAAAAGCTGCAAGAAAAATATATTTGATGAGATTTTTAGATATGTTTAAGTATTTCCTACAATCTCCTTAAATAATATTACTTTTGTAAGATAAATTCAACTCTTTGCAAAGCATCAAGACCTTGGGAAATTGAAAAATCCCTA